AAAAAAGTTAATTGTTTGTCATGTTCTGACCATAAAGAGTACTTTAAAACCACAATTAACAGTCTGCTTTCTACAACTTTCACTTAGGAGCAACAATCTGCCTTTAAACTTGAAAAGAAATAAAGATTTGAAATGTATTGTGATAATTATCAATATCGACTGATATGAAATATTTTATTGTGACAATTGTTTTGGCCATATTGCCCAGCCCTGCTTTGTAGTACTATGTTACAGTTTGCTATGTTTATATTAGTGCTCAGCTTGACTGACTAAGCAATTTCCACTCTCTGCCCGACCCACAAAGGTGCACAGCAACATTTGATCTAAAATGAAGGTCTGAAATGCAACAGTGAGCAAATCTCTGCCCTGCAGTGGAGAGCTGTAAATGTCAGTGATGGGAATATGCCACATATCATATTTGTGTGTGTGTGTGATGACTCTCTTGCCAATGCAGAGTGGGGTATTTCACAGGGGCGATGAACTAGATATGAGGCAGAGGCAGACAGGAAGCACTGACCCAAGGAAACCCATTGTCCCCACTGCACCCAATAAACACCTGTCAAAACTGCCAGGGCAAAATAAAGAACAACATCCAGTGTTTTTAATATAGAATGGCTGTCTTTAAAAAGCTTTGTATGGCCTGGACAGTTGTTGGTATTTGCTCTTCTGATCACCTTAGTAGATAACGCCTTGCAGGGGCCTTTTTTGTAGCAAAAAACCACAGACATCTGGCGTTCAACCAAAACAGTTGGAATGTTCATCCAATGTGGCTGCGCATAATGGGATTTACTAAACCCATATTGTCACTGCAGTGATTTATGAGCCATTGTTGATGCTCCACATTAGCTTGGTGGGAATAAAATCATGAATTTTGAGCAAGCTTGCTCAAGCAGTGTTGGGGAGCAGTTAAGTTGTGTTTTTTTTTTTGTTTGTTTTTTTGTCTCCAGTAGTGCAACAGTAGTTTAGCCTTTTTTCTTTATCTGTTACCAGTAACAAGCTACTTCCAAAAACTAGCAGTGCTGCAAATGGCATTGCATGTGGGGCTGCTCCTCTGTCTTTAGCTAAATGACATGTTAATGTTGCCTTCTGGAGGCCTGACACATGAAAATGATGAATATTTATTGCTCTTTCACATCACAACTGTGTGGATAAAGCCCAGGTGTCTCAGTGCAAAACCACCTGAGAACCACAACCAGAATTTAATGTACTGCATTCAATTGTTTTCCTCTATTTATAGCAAAATCACATCCATGTTTATTTATATGATTATAGGACGTCATTTTCTCTGTTAGCATTAAGAAAATGAGTGTTACTGTCCGAGTTAGCCGCATGTAGCTGTGTTTTGCGTTCATTTTCTCTCATTAACAATGTTGCATTCATTAGCAATATGATCTCTGTTCACCCTTGTTATTTAACACACAATTACACACTTAATGTTGCATGAAATTGTGGCTTTAATGACAAAAACAGCGGTAAACTCTAAAGGACACCGTCACTGATAAGGTTAAAGACGAGCTAAATGAAATGTTCAGAGCTGACTGAAACAATGTGTCAATCACCGAGCCCATGTAGATACTGTAGATATGCAATCAATTGTTAAAAAAATTCTTAAGTTCGGAAAGACAATAGTAATGTGGCAGGATCATCTATATTCCTGTTATATGCCTCTGTAGAATAGTTGACTCGGATTGTGGCATTCAGTGGTCTAATATTTTTGA